ATTTTAAATTTTGGATTGAAGGGTAGACTTGATCCACCCTCATCCCAAATTGAATAAGGTAGACTTAACTTTTTAAAATATTATAATTCAAATTAAAATTTTCACTATTTTTCTATTTTTTGAGAAAAAAATTAATATTAATTAATTATTTAATAAAAATATATTAAATTAATATTAACTCTAATAATTTAATATATAATAATTATTTTATTTTATTTTAAAAATTAAAATTAAAAATATAATTAATCAAAATTTTTTATCTTACAAATTAATTAATTTTAGTTAAATCACTTCAAATTAACCCTACTTGACCTTAACCCAATCTAATTAAATTTGAATAATTTTGATAAATTTGAATATTTTTGATTTAGCTCATATCAGATTTTGAATTAATATCTTATATTTATGATCCAATCTATAATGAACAGGTTATATTGGGTTCAATTTTTGTCATGTCCAGATGTAAGTAGTTAAAGGCGAAACAACAAACTGTTAGGTTACCCTCTTTTTCTTTTTTTTGGGTAAATAATCAATTATGGCATTTGAAAATATTCGTGTATAGATTGATTTTAATATATTAAAAAATAAATATCAATTATTTTGTTATTTATCAATTAACAATTATAATTAGTAACAGTTTTTTGACATCAAATTAAATAAAATTAATATTTTAAAAGACAAAATTTACAAGTTTATGTAGCTCCAACTATTTATTGTGTAACTATAACCATTCTATCACTCAGAGCAACTTTTTATTATTATTATTATTATTAAGAGGATGGTTAGCAAAACTTTCAAAAAAAAAAAAAGCTAGTTGTTGGAAAGTAAATTTTTTAATAAATTTAAAATTTTGTTAAAAAAATTCAAAAACTAATTTTAAAGTAACTTTTAAATTGATTTTTTTTTTAAAATTACACATGTTAACTCTTTTAAAATTTACTTAAATACCACTTTATAAGCTAATTTTTTAATTTCTCCTCAATATATTTTCAAATGTGTATGTAAAGAAAGCAAATTCCTTTTTAAGCTCCTCCAAACATCCTCCAAACACCCTCTAAATCTTGTTATCAAATGTCAAATTTATACATACTAATTTAAAATTTT